TTTGTCCCGGGCTCTGCTACACACCGAATATCGAGATAGAGAGATCGATCGATCGATCGAACAACGACGACGAAACCGTCGGAACAAATTCCGTTCGTCGCGTTCTCTCTGTTTGCCGACGCTTAAAACCATCGATGATCGAACACAGCGAAGGGTAGGTTGGAGCCGTTTAAGCAACGACGACGCTTTAATCTCATCCCATCCGGCGGGGTACGAGGTAGTATACTCGGTTGGCGCGCAGTCGATTCTTCCGGTTCGTGTGACGGTGGCGAGCTAAGAAGAAATAAAGGAACCTTTATCGATTTTCCGCGGGGTCCCGCGGGAAATCGGCCTGCGTTCGAGTGGTTCGTACGGTGCAATCTATCGAGATATAGAGGGAAAACGAAAGTAGTTCACGTGTATAGGTAGTAGAGAGTTTCTGGTAGCAGGTTTCGCGCGGCTACACGAAAGGGTTCGCGAGTCGAAGGCACAATTTTCCATTATACACCGCGTATAGCCGTGGCACCCCTTCCTTATCATTGCCGTGCATATTCCAGCACGGTAGCGGACAGCTGCCTTCTACGGAGTAATGGAAAACAAACAAGGGAAATATCGCGCGTATACAGCTCGGCCATTACTCCCCGACGCTGTTTTCCTCTCACTCTCTCTCTATCTATCTATCTTTACCCGTTCTTCCTTCTCTACGTGTGTAGTACCCCCGTCTCTATTTCGCCTACGCCACGATTCAAACGGTTTAAAGTTGGTTTTATGCGCGATGCCCCGGCCGTATCGTAAATATCGGCAAACGGACCGCCATGGGTATGAGCAACACTCGTTGCTCGAGTGCATCGTTCTCTCCAGATAGCGGGATTTTTATTATCCATCGCTCTCCTCTCCCTTCCACTTCTCCCGTTCGCCCAGATCGTAACCGGACGTAGATACAGGGGTGGATGCTCTGTGTGTAATATCCGTTTGCACCGGTAACGCGTGATTTGCGGCGACTTCTTCGCTTTCTTTCTTGCATTTTTTCTTCTCGAATTTTCCGAAGGCGTCGCCACCTCGCCGGAGGAAGGAAAGGGGGGAAGGTGAAACGGACGGACGGGTTAATTACACGGCAGTTCGTTCAGCTCGCCGGGAAACTAGCGCCGCGTGCGTGCCCGTTGATAATGACAGACAATGCCACCGTTTATCAATTACGAAAACGCGCAGCAAGCCGGTGGATGTAATTAATTAATTAATCGAAGTGCTGGCAAATAGACGCGTTCGAGCTGCGTTTAAAGTGCGTCGTTAATTACGCCGAGATATATTAGCCGCTTGAAAAATACGATCAATAGATGATAGGGAATATCGATAAATTTATGATACAGCCGATCGTACGTTATTTCTCGTTTACATAAAAATCGTACAATTCCCGATAGCAACGGACAGAGATCGTTGCAGAGATTTGGACAATCTGTTGAACGTTACACCTGTAAAATGGATAGTTACAACACGGTGGATCGTTACCGGTGTATGTAACGCTCGGAGAGGTATTTCTGCTCGTAAAACGAGCAAATTGTTCTACGCTGAGAAATTTCGCTAGTTTCAGTGTGAGAGAGGGAGAGAGAGATGGAGATCAAACACGCGACAAAGACAATCACCGTTTACGAAACGGTAATGAACGCGCGTTTAACGCGCTGTCGAAAGTTGTTAATTTCTGTCCATTGTTTCGAGAAACGCCAGGCCACCTGGTAAATAGCGCGCGACTTTATTGGTAGAACAGCTTGTTAATACCGCTTTTAACAACGCCCTCGACAAATAGCGTCCTTTTTCATCGGGTCCTTTCACGGGAACCCGGCGAAAAACGAAAGTGTATATATCTGCGGCTGGTTTCACAAATGTTGTCCGTGAGAGAGGGAGAACCGAACGTTTCATTGGCGATTAATTAACCGTGCGCCTCCTAATTGATCCCCAGGCTGATTACACGGTGAAAGAAGGGCGTTAATGTTATGAAAACGGTTTTTAAACCTGCCACCCGAAGCGAATCACGTTTTGGTAATTACACACGGTACGGTAATTACGCGACGGGTGTTTTGACGCGAGCGCGCGGAAATCCGACTACCAGGGACATAATTTTGCTGCTTAATTCCGCCCCGTTCCGGTCAACTGTCAATTAACCGCGTGTTATAATAAAACGACTGTAGCAATCACGATTGACTTTTCCATCTCCTTTATTTTCCTTCCTGTCGACCGTTTCCTTCTGAAAAACAGTTTCCTTCAAAGAGAGCAATTTTTGTATGTACACATTTTTTTTTCTTTTTTTTAATAGAATTATTTTTCCTTTTTTCCTGTGCAGGCAAAAAACTGTGACGTTAAAAATTGCAGCGAGTGGTAGACAGGAATTTCGTTGTTGCAACGCGTTAAGAAGCGGAACAAAGCGACGGGAGAGAGAGAGTTGCAAACGGAAAGCGGGGCAATGTGAGTACACTCGGTGGCAAATTACTTATGGATACCGGCACGTGTCCGCTTCAAATTGAACGTCAAAGAGACCGATGTCTGGTCGAAACCCTCTTGAACCTGAAGCACGTAGAATGTGCTGGAACCACGGCCAATTCAATCAAACCTTGTATGACATGACAATATCTACTTGACCGTACTACCCTACATTACAGTTTCCGGCAGCCACGTGTAGTATACAATGCACTTAGACATCTACGATTGCATATCTATCGAACAACGTGTCTGAAAAAACCGAATTTCTTTCACAAGGAAAAATTTTAATAAACATCAAACTACTAATTTTCCTTTTCATACAAACAAAATTCATTTGTCATATTACGAGCACCATCTCTACTCGTTCAAAGTTTCCCTTCTTTTTTCTTCTTCTTCTGCTAAATACGTATATCGCGAGATCTTAAAATTCAACGCTCGCAAGTTCGCCAGGCACGGTCGGTACGTACACGCTTAGCGTAATCAAGCGCGTACGAGCGGAACAACCTCGAACAGAGCTAGAAAGAGAGTGCACGAATACAGAGAGAAATTCTTCATAATGGACGTTACGTTCCATCTGCCTGTGTTAAACCGTTCTGTTCTTCGGAGAACGCTTAACATCCCTCGTACGCACAGGTGAGAACCATCAAGACTCGTTTGTTCGTTGCTTGTGTGTACGCGTCTCTTCGGGACGAAGAATTTCAACGACGACGACGACGTCTATTCTCGTTCGTGTGTGTTGGAGAACGAGAGAGAGAGAAGCTTGGTGAAAATAAGCGTGCCGAATAAATTTTCCAACCCTTTTGCGACCGCCTTGGTAGCCGACCGTGCTCGAAATCAAATTAACATGAGGGAGCAAGGAAACGCTCGGAACGGGAAAATAGATCCGTGGGAGAAATTATGGAAACGTGGCTTCGCCAACGCTAATTTACATGATCGCGTTTAATGGTCCTTTCATCGATGTTCCACCCGTCTGCATTGTTCCTCTAGTCAGTTTGTCGATACTGTTACGTACAGAGGAAAGGCAGTTTCGATCCTTTAACTCCGCGATCTCTTTTCATTTGAGGTATTAGAATCATTATCAATTTCGACCCTTTGTAATCTCATTTTTCTTCGTCCACGAGAAGAAAAATTTCGGTTAATCTTTCTTTTTTTACAGGAGAAGCAAGAATAAATACAAGAAATAATTCTTATAAAAAATGTAATATAAAGGAATACGTAACTTTATAGAGTGGATAATTCTATCATTCTCTCAATGCGATAATGTCAAAATGAAAATGAACCGTGACGCGTTGCTTTCTAATTCAGCACAGAAACAAATGTATCCTCCCAATAAAATAATATAATTAATAAACCCGTGGGAATTAGCAAGCAGGCAACAGGCGTCAAGGAATCAATTCCAATTAATTAAATCCCGACGATCCATAAATTCTAGTACGTCATCGAGAAAGAGAGAAAAAGAGACAGGGGAGGCGAGTGAGAGAACGAAATCGAGTGGATGCAGGGACGAGGGTAAGAGGAGTCTAGCGCGAGACGTGGCCAGCATGAGCAAAATGCGTGGCGCGCGCGATTTGCAATCGTTGCACGGTGCACGGTTGCGCGTACCGGAGCCACGTCACGTCGTCGATCGGCCACGACGACACGCCACACGATGGGGGACCGTGGGACGAGAGCAATTAGCAATTAAAATCGGAGGCTCGGCGATTGATCGGTCTAGCATGATACCAGCCTGTCCCACGGGCCAATCGACTCTTGGATTATAATTACGGGCGCTAATTGCACGCCACCTGCCCTCCCCTCCTATTCGTTCCTTCTCCTCTTCTCTTCTATCCCGTGAGAAGCGGCCGCGTGATTAGCACTCGACAGGGAGGGTTAAAATGTTCCGAGAATTTCATTTCTGTCCCTGGCATTTTCGTTCCGCTATTCTCGCTAACTAATTGGCTCATCCAGCTTCGTAAGGTGTAAGGTTACGCTATGAAGCTGGATAGACATAGAAAGAGAGAGATGATAAACTATCTCGCGGGCTTCAATGAAACGTGAAACTGTTGGTCGAAACCTATGCGTGGTTTAATTAAACGAACACGGTCAAAAGCGGTTTATTTAATTCATCCGGAGGACGTCGTTCGATTCCGGGGGAAAAAAAAGGATCGACAACCCGTCCGCGAATTAGAACGAATACGAGTGCACACGATTCGAATACGGCGTGTGTTTCGACGCTTCCGGTAGGATAGCTCGCGCGCGCGTCGCAAATGAAAAGAGCCCCGACTTCATGGAATTCTAATAAACGTGCGGACCGCGATGGCCAACTCGGAAAACGAGATTCCGGGCAACCGGTGCATTCGTGCGGTGGTCGTGAACGCGTAACGAATACACGCGCCTCTCCTCTTCCTCTCTTTTGTACACGGCCACTACCTGCACTATAATATCCCCGTCGTTCTCTTTCTCCCGCTATCTCCGAGAGCCAATGTTCGACGCGGCGGAGGGAGGGATGATAAAGCTCGCGCCTCCGTGAAATATCGGGACACGAAAAATATATTTGTAACCGAACTCACGTCGTTTTGAGCGAAGGTCGGCGTAATTGGCCCGTCGCTGGCTTCCCATTTGTCGGCGATGCGGATCGTCTCCGCCGTTTTCTGCTGCACCGATTTCGACTCGTCGAGCAACGTCAGCTCGTAAAACTCCTGGATATCTGCAACAGTCCGGAAAACGGCAAGTCAAATTAATACGCTACGAACGATACCATCCTATCGACGTCTACCCCACGGTAATATCCATCGCGCTCCACGCCCATAATGGTATCGATTCTCATAACGAAAATTGACGTTTGATGATTCGATGCATCTCGCGCGTTACAGGATATATACGCAAGTACGTCACTTTCGGTACTTTTCAAATATGAATTCGTGAAAGTATGGGGGGGTTTTAAGCAAGCTAAACTTGTATCATTTTCACTGTCACGTTGGATATACTGAATTTCTCAAGTAAATGTCCTATCTACCAATTTTTCACTTTTCAGGGTGCATTGAAATATTTGAGGATTCACGTATTCTTCTGCTTTTAAGCAAAGTTAGAGTGCACCATGTGCTTTTCAGATTCTAAGTGTTTCCCACATGGTTTTACTAGCTTTTACCTCATTTTTCTCGGATACATATTCAAAAATGCTAATTAGGACAATTTAGCTAAAGAAGGCAATCTTTTTGTGTGACGTGAGTATGTAAAATGGTGTCGTTACTTAATTTTCTTATTTTTCAAAATTTCTCAATATTTCCACGGGATTGTTCCAATAAAATACGCATCGTATTAGAAGACCGCAACGATATTTGCACATTTATGAAACCGTTGAAATCACGACGATTTCACGGATGATACATCTCCGACAATATTATTCTCTCATCTACGTTGAACCCTAAGATCGAGGTGAGCGCAACGTCGCGATAACAGGGTCACATAATTTTCAATATTGCACGGGGAGCTTTTCTTCATAACCCTGGTGAATCTTCCTCGAGGTGGCACGTTGTTCTCGAACGACACCGAGAATATAATACCGACGTCAACGAGTCTGACGTGGATCCTTTGCGGTCGGAGTGCGATCGTATTTCCTTAGTATAACGTTTAGCCACTATAGCACACCGTGGATAAGGTGTCCATAGACGGAACACGGTTCGAATAACGATAATTTCGTTGGTTAATCTATCGAAGGGAACACATTATTATACAGTATCTCTCTCTCGAGAGAGTAAACAGAGACAATTTGTCACTGTCGTAATGGAAAATTGCCATGGTGGAAAGTTCGAATCTATTTTATCAATTTTAACCAACGTTGGAAATTGTAAAGGATGGTCACAAGTCTGGATATCGTAATGGTAACAAGGAGCAAATAGTTTCGCTGTAATTTAGTTTCATTAAAGTACACCGGGTCACCCGGTCTGTATCGTTGGATTAAAATTATTCTACAGACGGTCTGTTTATTTAGGTCGTATTAGCCCGTACATCGTCAGTGGTTAAACTTAATTATGGTTAGTTCAGTATTATATCTGGTAATATTGGTATATAACGTAATGACATAACTCCGGAATTAACTCCCGGAAATTACTCACGAGAGGCCAACTAACAAGTGACACTCCTGAGGGCGATACTTCAAAGTACTTGCTCCGTGTCGATTTATTAATCCTTCGAGAACATTTTCAATCCATTCGAGGGATCTTGAATAACATTGCACGTCGGAGAGTTTAACTTTCGCCAACTTAGACTTTTCACGTCCAACAAAATTCTCCCTCTTTTATTCTACCTTTCGTACAATTAACACACAGGCGTGCCACACCGTAAAGAAACGACTTCGAAGGCGAAGTAAAATTCCGTGGAATAATTACTTGAAAAAGAAAGAAAAATACATGAAAATAGACGACGGTTCTCCAAGATTCCCCCTTTAACGGGCGAAAAAATTCAAACTAAACTCACGGCCACACGTAGGCCACGCGTTAAACGTCAAAGAGACCGCTTGTTATTCGTCGCGAAAAATTCTACGACTTTAATTAACGTCCCGACTTTTTGTCGTCGCGAACAGGCGGCGGCGCCCCTCGAAACGCCGCTGCCAGGTCCTCTAATTTTTCGTTTTAATTCACATTTAATGGCATCTTCTCAGCGCTCTCTAATCCCCCACCCCTTTGGTGTACCTTCAGCAAGTATGTCGTTGGCACTATTTATGCAACCAACAGGAATCTTTTTCTACGCCCTCGCGGGAGTACGGCTACAAAGTAGAGTACTCGAAAAAGCACGTTCCGAAGCCGTTCTCGAGGGCTTTCCTCAACAGGGGAAAGCGTAAGATGTCATTGGACGTGATCTCAGAGGTGAATAGCGGCTCGTTCTCCCTCTGCAGCGACGTTTTTCATATTTCCTTCTTCGCTATCATCGAGGAAATCTTTGTCATTTGAGAACGAAGCGGATTTACCAGGGAACGTGACTCCTATATTCCCTTCCATTTTCACCAGAAACATATACGTGTATATATGTATATACATCCTCGGTATCGAGATTGGATAATCAAGATACACAGGTTTTCCTTTCGCTATCATTGTTCCACGTTCGATTGAATTACGCGAAGCGAGAGAACGAACGAGTTTCGGTGTAAACTGTTTAACCGAAGAACACACAGACGCACAATTTTCCCTATCTATCCTACCTACAGTTTATTTCTCTCTTTTTCTTCTTCTCTGCATCCAGCGTATATTCACCCGGTATCAAAGAGGGTTCATCGAACGGGAACTCGGGAAATATTATATTTTCCTACGTCGAGACTTCTGTGTGTGTGCACAGGTTGCTCGATTTCTCAAAGGTTCCGATGTAAACTACGATTTCATTTCACGTCGACTACGTTAGTGTTATTGCGTTATACATTTTCGAATAGCTTCCTGATTCCGTCAGCATCATACAAACATGCATCAATCTGATCAGCCTTCGCGAAGCGTTTTTCCCATTCTCAGCACGCGTTCGTATACGAAGGAAGGAAGGCGGCAACACGTCTAAGTATTACCGGGGGTACGAGGACATTTTTCACGGGGAATGCGAGAAATATCGAAAACTTGTTTCAATCTCTCCCCTTTCGAACGGGTCCCACGCCGCCAGCTATTTGGGGCGGTATGTAAAACGCGCGAGGAATTCTTTCCCGAGACGTCCCGCCTTGTCAAGGCTTACGCGTCAGACACCGCCGGTTTTTCCGATACAATTTCGCCGGAGGAAAAACTAAGTGAAAATTGGTGTACGTTAAGGTTATCGGTACCGTGTCAATCGTGCTTAGGCAGGCGTCGCTGTGTCGCCGAGGATATTGTAATTTACAGATCGGTGACAGTTTCTCGTTAACTTTGCATCTGCTTGACAAACGCGGGGAAGCGAGGTCGAGAAATCGAACGAAAAATTAATCCGACGATATGGACCGTGAGAAAAATATTAATTTGGTAGTTAGTACGGTTTTAACAACGAATTACCAGAGGGAGAAATTTTGCCAAGGGAGGAAAGAAGTGGGTAATTCGGAATTACTCGGTTTATGTCGAATTTGGTATAGAAACAGACGATATTGGTAATGAACGGCTAAATGTACAGGCGAACGCGTAAGCGAATATTCGGTGCATCAACCATTTAAATATTTACACTGATATAATTAGGTATTTCAACGGCGCCACATAATTGTACCGAGCGTAGCCAATATTAATACTGAATATTCATTGGACCACTTGATGGAAACGTGTCCCACGCGTCGTGCGTACACGCTCGTGTACTACGTATTGATATTTTCTTGTCAACGAGCGTTTTTGCCAAATTCGCGACAATTCAATTACAGGATCGATGGAGCAGCGGGCGTTAAATCTGCACCCGTAGATAAAACAGCCATTTAATCACGCGCCAAACCCGAAAAACGTCTCGTTTTCCCTGGTGAATCGACAAGTCAACGTGACTGTTTCGCCGTATCGATATCTCTTCCACGTCGAAATTACCAACGAAATTCGACGAAAAATGAAAAGGAGAAACGAAAAACTAGGTACTTAGAACGACGACGGATAAAGCATAACGAAAGATGAAAAAAAAGGGGAGAAGAAATAAAAAAAAATTGGAGAATCTCGATTTACTCGGCAATTTTTCTCAGCGCCAGTAGGCTTTTCCCGACGAATTTTTTCCCCACGATTTATCCCCCTTTCGCCCAACAGCAGTTGCTAACCGCAAAGTACACGCGCCGAAAAAAAGTTCCAGTCGCAGCTTGTTAAAATATCGTTGTTCGAGGGCTTTCGTTAATTTTCCACCATTTCTCTCTGCACTGTCGTTCCTCTCACATTTTTCCTAACCCTCTGTAGTACTCGCCCGTGAAACTAGACAAGCTTAACAAATTTACAATAAAAAAAAACACAGTCGTATGGGATTTTTCGATAGAATTAAAAATTCCCCTCGATTTCAACCCTCGGAAAAAGTTTCACGAAGCATCCTCGAGGATCTCTTTCGATCGAACCTTCAGAATTTCGACAATAAGGGATTGCAATCCTCGGAGACAAACAATTACACTCGTCCCTGCTTCCTCTCCGAAGCGTTCACCGCCGCTAAACGGGATTCCTTTCGCGCTTTTAGCCGGCGAGGACCAACTGTTCTCCGGCCTCCTCTTCTCGACGCTCCCTCTCGACCGGCAGAGAGAAAAACAGAATACCTCGATCTACGCTCGCTGGACCCCTTTAGACCATTGTTTTCCCTTTGCCTGATTCCACTTTTCCAAACAGAGACAGAAACCGCGCAGAGAGAGAGAGAGAGGAGGAAAAGAAGGGTCGTCGAAGGGTAGATTCTACGTCGACGAACAACATCGACCAATGACTACGTTCAACCGTTTATGCAACGGAATAATTTTTAATTTGCACTCGAGTTACGCAGCAGCGCGTGAAAAGGCCATAACTACGTCGCCCGTAGCGTCGCCGCACGTTATCTTGATTTCCTTCGTTCCGGCTTTTTTAACCGACTCCGTTTTATATCCCGCATTCCTCTCGCGGACAAAGCCTCGCGGTGTGCTCAGGCCAAGGGAGAGCTTGGATAGCCAACGACTTATGTACTGGGTGTTCCAGTAATCGTGGTACAAAGGGGTGACTTTTTTTTTTAACGAAGAAGTAAGAATTTTTGCAGATAGGAGATTCTTGAGGTAAATGACACTTCGGACACAAG